AAGCTGACCTCGGCTGTGCTTGAAGTTTAGCTAGGAGAGGCTCTGAAGTAGGTCTCTGCCCAGTAAAGGAGGCCAGAACAAACAGCAGAGAGCCTCCGCTGAACCCTGCAGGAAGCCAGGGACCACAGTGTTTGTTTGCCACCCTGATCTAGCAGCCTATCTTTCTTCCAATAAGAAATGTTTTCCTGGAGCTTGTTTTAGCAGGACAGTTGCTGAACCAGCCACGGCCAGTGGTTACACCAGAGGATGCAGGACAAAGCACCAAGATTAGCAGCACAGCCTTTCAGACACTGTTCTGCTGCTGCAAGAGCAGCCAGCATCCATAGGACAGGAATGGTCTGTGCCCTCCTCAGGTCTCACTGTGCCCATACACTCTGCCTCAGCTGGCAGGACAAAGCTCTTGGGGACAGGGGACAGTCCTCCTGCACAGTCCCAGCATGCAAGGGTCAGCTTTTCACACAGGGCTCCTCCATATGGCAGGAGACAGGGAGTGTCCTCATTGTGTGGGTGAGGATGAAAGGTCCCCACCACACCCCCTGAGTTCAGACTGAACCACTCGCAGAGCTCCAGACAGATCCAAGCACAGCCACACTTCAGGACCACCAAGGGGCCTCTCCTTGTTTGGCAGAGCTGCACAGGAAAGGATCTGTGCCCTTCCCCCTACACCTGTGAGAACACCGTGAACTCCACCCAAAGCACTCTTGGAGGAGATTGGAGCTCTGGCAGCAACGCAACTTCTCTGCACAAGAGAGGCCATGCTGCCCATGTGGTTATGCTGAAAGAGAAGACCAGCTCCAGCCTTCTGGGGTCCAAATTCCAGGCCCACAGTGGTAAAAGGGAAAAGAGAAGGGTAGCACAACCTCTTGGGACAGTGAAAACAAAAGCACACACTGCACTCAGCCTGGTGCTGAGAGGACACACTCCATGGGCAGATCCCACTCCTCCACATGCACCCCACTGTTTCCATAGGGCGTGCTGAGCCAACTGCGTGGACAGAGGCACAAGCACCCCCAGAGCTGTGCTGTTGGAGACACGCAGCCCCTGGAAAACCTCTCCTAACAGAGGCCCACAGGCTTGAACCAAGTCCCTGCCACTCCTCAGCAGGCCACTTGACAGCTTTGTCACCCAGCTAGAAGTTGGATTTCACCACACCAATCACCTCTACAACACTGGCAGGTCACACTGTTGCTGTGGAAGCAAGAGGAGTTATTAGCAGCAGGAGGTTCATGAACACTGACCTGAAGGTAAAGACATTCCTGGTTCTAAACAGGACGGTTTTGTGCATTTCTTGGGCTCCACATGCATTTTGCAGTAAGGAGGACTGCAGACCACCATTCAAGCCAGCCCACAACCAACATTCCAGACCCCGACTGAACTCTGCTGCTAAAAAGCGGCCCCGCTGTCCAACTGCATCAACAGCTTTTCATCCTCCAGAGAGGATACCAGACCTCTAACAGCCTACCACAACTTTAGGAGTTGGAGATGACTCACCAACCTTCTGACAGCAGAAATCTGGGTGACTTGTAAGTCTCTCTGGCCCAGATTCCACTCCAGCACAGATCCACAGCACTGGAGCTGAGCGAGGCGGCTCCAGGTCCTTCACTGACACCTTGTGTCAGCAGCAGGAACTGGATACGACAGGGAGGGCCGGGCGGCTTCCAGGCGATCCCAGCACAGGTGAACAGCACAGGGCCTCTGGCTGAGAAACCACCAAAGCACCCGGACTTTTGGAGCTGGATGAAGGGATTAACATGTTATTGCTGCAGGGTTTATGAGAAAGCTTAAGCCAAAACAGCTCTCACTGCCCCCCTCAATCCTGGACACGTTTTTCTGCTGAGGAGCCTGACCACAGACAGCCCACTGGGCTATTCCTGACTCAACAAGGGGCAAGAGCTTGACTCAGGTTACTTTGTGACCAGACAAGCAGAGACAACAGAGGAGCACAGAAAAGCGTGACTTCCTCCTTCCAGCAGCATGAGCTGCCAGCCCAAGCCCTGCAGCAGAGAAGTCAATCCCTTTGTGGCTCCAGAGCGATCCAGGCACACGAGAGGGAGCAGCATTTGAGGCCTGGAAGCACAGCATCCTCCAAGCAATGCCAGTGGCAGCAAGGTGCCAGATACCCAATTCCCAGGGCCAGACCCACAACAGCCTTGGTCCTTCAGGATTCCTCCATGGCCAAGGATCACTCACTCCAGGACTGGGACAAACTGCAGGGCCAGACTTGCACACAAGAGGCGGAAAGAAGACAAAATAGAGAGTAGAGAACAATGTCTGAGTATTTTCTGTCCCAGTACTTATTTTGGCTGCTAACACGCCAGCCACTGCCTGGATTTGGTGCAGACAAGTAGCTGGGAGAGGAAGAATGCATGTTAGAGGTCTGTGGAGCACAGAAAACAAGAACTGAATGGGAAAATCCCAACTAAAGGGACAGAGGAAAGAAACGGTCTGACCACAGCCCCACGTGAGTGATCAAGAGCAACACTCCTTTGAAGGAAAACACCTCTACAAAAGCACAGCGGGCAGGGACACACAAAACCAGGTGGAAGAGGAACAAGCCTGACAGTGAACTGGGAAGAGCCTTCAGGTTCTGAAGGAAGCATGGCAAGGAGCACAGCAGGAGCTGTCAGGGGCAGGACACCAATGACACCACGGCAAACATACGGGAACTCCAGCGTGACTCACTCCAAACGCAGCAAACACCACTCTGAGGGAGAACTTGGTTTAACCAACTCGGTTCAGAAAGTGAGGAAGGGAGAAAGAAAAAGAGAAGCTCTCAGCACAGAAAGACTCCAAAGGGGAAGTTAAGTGCAGGGAAGGGACACAGTCACAGTTCAGGGCACCATGACACTTGTGATTACCCAGAGAGCAGAAGTTACTCCCACTGCCCTCTTCCAGGCCCTGGGCTACATAGCAGGAATGGCAGTGACTGCTGCAAGCAAAGAGCTGCAAAAAAGAGAAGCTGAAAAGGAGCTTCTCTCCTAAGTAAAAACAGCTTGGGAATTCTTAACTAGAGGTTGAGACACATCAGAGCACTCTGCTCCCATTCTGCTGTTACCTGGAGTGAGCAGCTCCAGGCATCCAGGGTTCAACTGGTCAGGGATCCATCCACATACTCAGGGATAATTAACCACTCAGCAATGACTGTCAGTATAAACCTGACGCTTAACAAATAGTTTTAGAAGAAAGAATAATCTCTGGACACGTGTATTTCTAACCCGTTTCAAGAGAGGCCTGGTTTTAATCTCTGTGGGTTTTGATCCAGGCTGTAGACACTGCTGAGTGAAAAATGGGCAGGGTACTGAATTTTTTCCACTGGTGACCCTTCAATAAAAGCAGGTACTTCCCTAGGCGACCTGATCCCTCTTAAAAACTAATCACGGGTATCAGGGATTGTTAGATTACCCCAATAAACTTACTTCTGGCCCTAAAAGGCCTCCTGCCATTTAGGGAGTGCAGGCACAAAACCAGCCCTCACCAGCAATGCCCGACAAAACCCACCAGGCCCCCAACAACCACAGCTGTACAGCCACCCCAAGGAAGCACGGGGAGCCCAGGCTCCCTCACGGCGCCGTGCCCGCTGACCGGGACACTGAGGCAGCTGAGGCGGCGGGGCCGGGACACCAAGGAAGCCATGGGGGGAAGAGGGGACAGGGCCGCTGTCGACTCTTTTCGCCGCTGTCAGGCAGCCCTCAGCCCCTCACCGCCTCCCCTCAGCCCCTCACCGCCTCCCCTCAGCCCCCCGCCCGGACCTTCCCCTCAGGATGGCGGGGGAAGGCGGGGATGTTCCGCAAGCCTCGGCCCCCCTCCCCGCCACTCACCCTCCAGGCTCTCGCACTGCACCAGGTTGACGTAGTCCCCTTGCCGGAGCACGCCCGCCTTGAAGCCGCGCACCAAGCCCTCCAGGTATCCGTTGTCCACGTTGAAATAGAGCTCCGGGAAGCACGACATGGCGGCGGGGCCGGGCCGGGAGCGCTGCCGCCGCCGCCTCACGTGACCCGCGCGCCCGTCACGTGGCGCGGCCCCTTCCCGGCAGCCATTGCGGGGCGGGAGCCGCCTGAGGGGATGGGGGGGGCGGGAATGGACGGGGGTCCGGGAATAAGTTAAATAAACGCGTGGGGTGTGTTAGGGTTGTCTCAAGTTAGGGGTGTTCCCTGGTGTGAGACCCTTGTGTACTTGCAAGCCTAGTGAGCAGGGAGGGAGGGCTGATCGGTGGGACTGGCACCCCTTGCTCGGGAACATCCCGGAGCTGACAGGCTTTGGGGTGCAGGAGATCAAGATGTTGATGTCTGCCTATGGAACATCCCGGAGCTAACAAGCTTTGGGGGTGCAGGAGATCAAGATGCTGATGTCTGCCTATGGATGCATCGCTAGCTTGGCAAAATACTCCAGGCCCGTGTATCCTAGAGCTGAACTATCTTTGTTATAATACCAAAAATCACGCCTGCAGGTCAAAAGAGACCCTGCCCAGTTGAAGACCCTTACCCTGAGCAAGAGTAGAAGTTACCTGGGTTATATGTGATTTGTATGGGAATTACCAATCAACCCAATAGAGGGGCTGTGCTTGGGCATTTACTGACTCTGAACTTTGTGTGTGAACAGCAACACGGCAAGTCCAGTGGGACGTGCTGGATTTGTGGAATAGCCCCTGGAATCAATAACCCCAGTGTCTCCCCTCGAGTGTGTCATTACCAGCTCGTTGCACACCAGGGAACAAACACGATTTTGTGGGTGACAGCGGCATAGCGTAAGACATCACCTGCGGCACCCCTGCTGCTGAGACACCTCCTACCCAGCCAGGAAAGGCACATTCTGTGTGACGTGGAGGTGCCCTGGGCTGCTGGCTGTGTGGACAGCCATGCCCAGCTGTGTGCAGGCACCCTCCCCTCGCTGCCGCCCCGCTCCCCGCGATCCCCAGCGGACACAGCACACCGTTCCCCCCCGGCAGCGGCGTTTGCGAAGGGCTGGTTTATTGGAGCTGCGGAGGGGGAGGCACACGCGTGGGCAGGGAGCAGCCCTAGTTCTTGCCGCACGGGAAGTTGGTGCTGATTTTCCGGCAGTAGCAGAAGGCGTTGAAGAAGCGGCAGTAGCAGGTGGCGCAGGGGTCGCAGCAGGGCACCTGGTGGCCCAGGCAGGACTCCAGCAGGCGGACGCAGCGGCGGGGGGAGCGCTCCTCACGGCCCGCGGCCTGCAGCTCCGTGGAGGAGGGCTGCAAGGGAGAGAGGAGGAACAGCGGGGGGAGAGTTGGTGCTGGACCACTGCACCAACAGAGAACTGTGTGGGAGAGAGCCAGGAGTGCCTGCTGGAACCTGCCACTGCCAGCAGTGCACAGTCGTGCTCAACTGCAAGCTCAGCCTGCTGGAAATCACCTCCTGGTCTCTCTGCAGGGTGCACTGCCTCATCCACTGCGTCTCAAGGCCTTTCTGCACGCATTTGTTTCGAAGCACAGCCTGGACTTCAGCGAAGGGCGCTGTGCCTTCTGCCCAAACAGAGGGACTGAGGGCTGAGCCAGGCAGAACATGGCCCTGCCCGGTGAGCTCCTGCTCTGCAGAGGCTTCCAGGGCTGCACTTGAGGTTAATTAAATGGATTGCAGGAGCACATGCTCGCACCACCCTCCCTTGAGTGCTGTAGCCCCTTGTGTCTCTGGGCAGCCTCAGCTCATCCCAGCCCTGGCTGTTCCCCAGGTGATGAAGAGCTAGTGCCTTCCCAGGGAGCACCGTGTTGGGCTCCAAACCTCCCCTGGCCCCAGGGGCACAGAGAAGGCTGCTGTGGCCTGATGCTTTCCCGCTCCTTGAGGTGTCTGTAAGAAAGCTCAGGGTTACCTGTGGTTCCAGCACGCCACCTCTCCTCACGAGGTCACCGTCGGCTTCTTGGACCTCCAGGGCCATCTGCTCAAACCCCAGCCTGGGGAGAGGTCCTGTGAGATACAGAGAGGCTGCACAAGGAGGCTGCTGGGGGGGTCAGCTCTGATTCTGCTCCTGTGGGCTGCCAGGCTGCTCTCACCAGCCAGGGCTAGAGAAAGCTGTGCCGCTTTAGGGGGACCCCCCTGTGCTGGTTCTGGGCGTGGGATCTCCACTTCAGCTCTGGGGCTCTGGGCAGTGCAGTGAGCAGCTGGGGGGGTTGGCGGAGGATGGGGGGCCACGGGACTCACCCTGTGGCTCTGCAGGCGCCTCCTGGGCTCTCCGCTGCAGGCTAGCGTGCCGGGCTCTGTCCGCCCCCTCCAGCCCGCCGCTCGCCTTCTGCACGTGGCCGCAGCTGAGCTCGGCGGTCCTGAGCTCCAGGACGGCCTGGATCCCCTGCAGCAGCCCACAGCACAGCAGCAGCACGGTCAGCATGCTCCCGGGGGACAGCCTGCACACAGGGGCCCGGCCGCTGTCAGCCCGCCCCGCTGGCAGCCTGGCCTGTGCCCCCCTCATCCCGCTGGCATCACCCCCCGAGCAGTGCCATGTCAGCGAGGGGCAGCCCCTGCCAGCACAGCCACCCCCCCGGGCTGTCTGCTCCCTTGGGCTTCAGAGCCTTTTTGTGGGCCCCCACACACCTGGGAGCTCTCCAGAGCACGTGTTGTGGGGCACCCCACGTGTGGGCACGTTCGTGATGTCCCCACAGAGGGGGGGAGCAGCAGAGAGCGGACTGAGACTCAACCAGTCCTTTGTGCAGCAGTTCAGGGAGCTCCCCAGCCCACAGAACCACCCAGCTCTTTGGTGGGAGAGACCCCTCTGCGCCTCGGGGAGCCCCACGCCCGTGGGTGTCACACCCCACGCGCTCCCAAGCCCCTTCCCACGGCAGGCACTGACCTCTCCGAGCGGAGAGGGGGCTTGTCCTTCACTGCTGCACCGCTGGAAGCGCCGCCACCGCTCTCGGCCTCAGTGTCCTCCGCCCCACATGCTTCCTGGGATTTATATCGGCTTTTTATTAATTAAGTGCTGCAGCCACATGACTCCACTAACTACCAGGTAGGTGGGATTCTCTGGAAAATGGGCTTTGTCTGGATGGAGAGCGGCCAGCGGGGCGATGCGTGGGAGGGGGGACTCCTGCTCTGCGCCCCACACAGCTGTGGGAGGGACAGCTCCCCACTCCCCCCAGCCCCCCAAGTGTCTCGGAAGTGATCCCTGCTGCCCTTCCAGACTGCTTCCCTCTCCAGCCACGCCTGAGGAGCACCAAGGCTGCAACTTGAGGGCATCTCTTAGTTCCCAAATAGAGAATTATCAGGGCTACGGGCTCCTGGCCATAAACATGCCAAGCTCCACTGGCTTTCAAAGGGAGTGTGCTGCCTATCCATATCTCCTGGCATGTGTCCATAGTCCAGAGCCTCCAGCAGTCCTGCAGCTTCTGACCACTGGCCATCTGCAGATTCTCCAGGCTAACTGTGCCTCTCATTCATAATTCCTTCAGAAAAACAGCAGCTCCCCAGAGCCAGGCTCCTTTTGGGAATGCTCATGGCCTTAAGTGACTTCAGTGCTGCAAGGAAATGGGAGGATAAGACATGACAAGGGTTCAGGGGGCTGTGACATTCCCAGCAAGGGAGGCTGACAGCCCAGGCTCTGCCCTCACCAAGCTGCTCCAAGACCCCCCAGGCCTCCCAGCAGGTCCCCAGCAGAGCATGAGCCACCGCTCCTGGCTGCAGCACCAGCCCTGGGGCTCTTTGCAGGCCCCCTCTGCCCCTCACACGCCCTGTCCCAGCATGATCTGATTCCTGCTGCATTTGAGGGACAGGCTGAGCGAGTGTGGGGCCAGTGAGAGGCTGAACTGCCGTGTCCCCTCTGGCTGCTGGAAACACTCACCTGGGTCCCCAGTGCACAACACCCAGTCAGGACCCTCCAGCACAGCACCCCGACGTCTCCTGCACCCACGTGCCTGGCTGAAGGCTCATCTTGGGTTAGAGGCAGCTTTGGCAGCCCTTCCCACCCCCATTCCCAAGGCCCGGGTGGGTGCCGAGTGCCCCATCCAGCCCCAGCTCCTCCATCCCCAGCCCTGGGGGCTCCGGGTCCCCAGTCCCTGCTGCCCCCGGTCCCCGCTGACGCCACCCCCGCTCGGGGCCCTCGGCCAGGCTCATTAGGGCCTGTTTGCAGCCGGCGGGGCCGCGGGCCAGGACTTCTGGGAAGGCATTAGCGGGAATGAGGGCGGCCGCGCTGAGAGCTTTTTAATCTGCCGGAGCAACATCTGCTTTGTGCGCATCCCGATGGCCAGTAACGAGCTAAATGAGGCTGCCGGCCGCTCGCCGGGCCGCTTCCAGGAAAACAGGGCTCACAGCGAGGGGGAAAGGGGGGCCGGGGCTGCGCCCCCGGCTCGGTGCTCCCGGCTCCAGGGAGGGTGGGAGCGGGCGATGGAGCGGGTCGGGGGCACAGCGGAGGTGCCCGTCAGCGGGCACCCCGGGCAGGAGGGCAGCGGGATGCCTCGGGAGAGGCATCATCCCACAGCGGGACCCTCGGCAGACACCGCGGGCAGGCGGCTCTCCCTCTCCCTCTCCTCCTGGAAGCATCGAGGCAGGCTCGCTGAGCTCATCACCAGCCCTCGTTCCCGCTAATGCGCCCCCAGTCCCGCCAGCCCAAGCGGGCACTGACGAGCCGGGCCGCGGGAGCGGCGGTGCCCGGGGGTCTCCCCGTCGGGAGGTGCGAGGAGCATCCCCCCGGTCCCAGTCCCTGTCCCGGTGCCGGCCCCGGCCGGGCCCTTTAAGGCGCGATCCCGGAGCCGCCCTGACGTCAGCGGGGCGGGCGCGCCCGGGCACCGCAGCCCCGGCGGCCGCAGCTCCGCGCCCCGGGGAGAGCGGCTCCATCGGGGCGCACCGGGGGGCAGCGGCTGCGGTGGGTATCGGGGGGCTGCGGGGGGGCGTCGGGGTGCCCGGGGTGCTGCGGTCTGGAGGTGAGGGCGTTGGGGTGCCCGTGGTGCTGGACACCTGGAGGTTGGCGATATTGGGGTGCCCAGGGTGCTGGGAACACGCAGGTGTGGTATGGGGGCGCTCAGGGTGATGAGGGGCTGTTGGCAGGGATGTTGAGGTGCCCAGGGTGCTGTGGTGCTGGACACCTGGATGCCCTGGGTTGCTGGGAAGTAGCGGGGGTGTAAGGGGATGTACAGGGTGCTGGGAACTGAAAGAGAGGGTGTTGGGGTGCTCAGGGTGCTTGGAACCTGGGCAGGGGGAATGGGGTACCCTGGGACGTTCAGGAGTGGAGGTGGGAGTACTGGAACGTCCAGGGTGCTGGGGACTGGAGGTGTGGATACAGATGAGTGCCTGGATCCCAGGATGGGGACTGGGAGAGCTGGGGTGTCGGGCACCCAAGCTGCCGGGGTCCTGATGCCCGAGGTGCTGGGGTCTCTGATATCCTGGGCATCCTGGTGTCAGTGGTGCCGGGGGGGCCTGGTGTTCTGGGGAGCTCCATCCCTCACCCCACACCACTCAGCGTCTCCTCCGTCCCACAGCGCCCCGTGCCCGAGGCCGCTGCCATGGCCGGGACGCAGGGCTGCGGCGAGGGCAAGATCGCGGGGCTGTACGACCTGGAGCGCACGCTGGGCAAGGGCCACTTCGCCGTGGTGAAGCTGGCACGGCACGTCTTCACCGGGCAGCGCGTGGCCGTCAAGGTGATCGACAAGAGCAAGCTGGCGGGGGAGGCGGCGGGGCAGCTCCTGCAGGAGGTGCGCTGCATGAAGCTGGTCCAGCACCCCAACGTGGTGCGCCTCTACGAGGTCATCGACACCCACGCCAAGCTCTACCTGATCCTGGAGCTGGGCGACGGCGGGGACATGTTCGACCACATCATGCGGCACGAGGGCGGCCTGGCCGAGCCGCGCGCCAAGCACTACTTCGCCCAGATCGTCCACGCCATCTCCTACTGCCACAAGCTGCACGTGGTGCACCGCGACCTCAAGCCCGAGAACGTGGTCTTCTTCCAGGAGCAGGGGGTGGTCAAGCTCACCGACTTCGGCTTCAGCAACCGCTTCCAGCCCGGAAAGATGCTCACTACCAGCTGCGGTTCCCTGGCCTACTCGGCGCCAGAGATCCTGCTGGGGGACGAGTACGACGCCCCAGCTGTCGGTAAGGGTGGGGAGGCACCCTGGGGACCTGCCTGCCTCGTGTCCCTTGCCTGGAGCGTGGTCCTGCCGGCCAGGAACCACCTCGCTCTTGGCCCTTGTGCTGGGAGCACCCTGCTGTCCCTGCAGGGAGCACCGCTGTCCCCTGGGTGCTGGGCTGCCCAACCCTACCCTGGCTCGGGGGGTTATCCCTGCAGGGACCATCGCAGCACCCGCTGAGATCCCACAGGGTGACGGTTCATGGCGGGGAGGGGAAAAAGCCCGAGCAGGCTGCGAGTCCGTCGTGGCATCCGCCGGGGCTCGGGAGAAGCAGAGTGAGGACGCAGCTGCCGGCACTCTGGCGCTAGTGGTTATTTGGGGGGTGAGGCAGGAAGGAAATCTGCTTGGGATGCCGCTGTTTGGGCGGGGGAGCTCCGAAAGTTTCCTTTGCTCCATCCCCGCCCTGAAAACCGCTTCCTCTCCGCGCCTCCCAGCGCCCTTCCTCCCCTGGCCGGGGCACGGGGGTCTAGGGGGGCTGTCCCTTGGCACGGGGAGCTGGGCTGGGGGCTCGGAGAGGCTCTGCTGTGACCACAGGGACACGGGAGGGAAGCAGGATCTGAGCTGGCTGGCTGGCTGGAATTAGGGCAGGAGGATTTAGCAAAGCAAAACACGAGCCCTTAAAGGAAAAAGCCCAGTGTTGGCTCAGGAAAAGGCGGATCCCGAGCTGAGAGCAGGGATAGCTTATGGAGGCGGTAGGAAAATAAGCTGGTGGCGCTGCAAAGGGAAATGAAGGGAGAAAACCGACGCAGATGAGAAATTTTCGAACACTTAAGCAGCTGAAGGTATTAACGGAGAGCCCCGGGGCGTGCTCAGCATCCCAAATGTGCCTTCTGCAGGAGTTTGTGTTCTGGGCAGGAGGGACCAGTGAAGATACTGCTGGCTCCAGTGCTGGGGCAGGGGGGTGGGTGGGTGACTGGCAGGACAGAGCTCAGGGTGCCTCCCCTGTGCCTGCCTGGATGAGGGGATAAGACCTCAGCTGCTTTGGTGAAGCCCCTTGAGACCTGCCTGGATGTAGGGATGGGGACGGTCTTTCCCCCCCTTGATGGGGCTGGGGTCCCCTTGTCCATGGGGCAGGACCTGGGAGCACCCTCCAGTGAGTGCAACCTGAACTGCTGCTGCTTCTTGCAGACATCTGGAGCCTGGGGGTCATCCTCTACATGCTGGTGTGCGGCCACCCCCCCTTCCAGGAGGCCAACGACAGCGAGACCCTCACCATGATCATGGACTGCCGCTACACCGTCCCCCCGCACGTCTCGGCCCAGTGCGCTGAGTAAGCACCACCCCCCTCGCTGTACCCCCAGAGCCCACCACGCCGCCCCTGGGGATGCCTGGGAGCTGGGGTGGGAAAGGGGGGGGTGAAGCTGCCCGGTGTGGGCTTCACGTGCTGCCGCAGGGCCGCAGCGTCGCTCCTTTCCCCCCAGTCTCATCTCCAGGATGCTGCAGCGGGACCCGAAGCAGCGAGCGTCCCTGGAGCAGATCGAGGGCCACTCGTGGCTGCAGGGGGTGGACCCGTCCCCCGCCAGCCGCTCCCTGCTGCCCCTCACCTCCCACAAGCGCGTGTCCCAGGAGGAGCACGAGATCATCCTGCAGGCCATGGTGTGCGGGAACATCGCGGATCGGGACACCATCCAGGAGTGAGTGCTGGGCTGGGCTGCCGAGCTGGGAGCCCCTGCAAAGGGCTCTGGGGGTCCCAGCACGTCCGTGGGGTGCTGATGGGAGCCCCTCGCTCGCGCAGGGCGCTGGAAGCCGATCGCTACAACCACATCACGGCCACCTATTTCCTGCTGGCCGAGAGGATGCTGCGGGAGAAGCGGGAGAAGCAGGGCCACCGCCTCAGCCTCGTCTACAACCTGGCCAAGGAGGTGCAGAGCAGGTGAGCCCCACTCCTTCCCCCCTCCCATATTTCCCCCCCTGTGCCATCCCAGGTCCCCAGTGGAGGGTCTTGGCTGGTCCCCTGTCCCCTTCCTTGCCACGGCTCTTTCCACGCCCGGCTGGGCACCGACACCTCCTTCCCTCCCGCTCTCCCCTTCCTCAGGACCAACTTATCGGACACGTTTGGCTCTGGGGGTGGTGCCAGCGGCCTCCTGCCCTTCACCGAGCCCGGCAGCCTTGCTGGGGGGTCCCGGCTGCCCCCCGCAGGGGACATGGGTGGCCGGCAGCCCACCGGGACCCTGCTGAAGGTCCCCGCCGTCGACACCACCATCACCAAGAGCACCCCGGCCCTGCAGCAGATCTGCGAGGAGGAAGAGGAGGACGAGGAGGACGAGGAGGGGAGGCCCAGCACCATGGAGAGGAAGAGCAGCTCTCTGAACCAGGAGCAGATGAGAGCCTTCCTGCGCGCCCACCGCCCGCCCGGCCGCGGGGAGGTCTGGGGGGGGACGGGGGCTGAGCTGGGGGGCCGGGCCGGGCGCCCCGGGGCAGCCTGGGCTGGGAGGGCAGCGAGCGGGGCCCGGGGGCTCCTGGGCCTGCGGGGGCGTGGAGCTGAGTCCCCGAGCAGGGACGAGGACACAGAGCCCGGGGGCTCCTCAGCAGAGTCCCCCCAGGAAAGGGGAGCCGCCCTGTCACCCCAGAGCAGCTCTGCTGGGGTAGCCCAGGTGCTGGGGGCAGAGACGAGCCCTGCCTCCCTCCCGAGCCCCACGGACACGTCCCCAGGGCAGGGGGCTCCCACCAGCCCCGCCCAGCAGTCGGGGGAGAGCTCAGGCACCGAAGGGGGCGCGGAGAGTGTGATCAAGCTGGACCCGGGCAAGGGCAAGGGGGGCAGCCTGCGGGACAGGCTCCTGCAGATCCCGCTGTGCGAGAAAGCCCTGGCCTTCAAACTGCGGCCGGGCTCCAAGGAGAGCCTCCTCTCGCTGGGGCAGTTCAACTGCTGTCACGTCATTTAAGGCCCCAGGGTGAGGGACTGGCCCCGCTGTGGGGTCTGGGTGGGAGGGCACCCACTCCCCTGCCTTTGGTCTGCCAGTGGCCGTGGGGCTGGCGGGGAGCACTGCTTTGTCACCCATGGTGGCCACCCTGCCAGCCTCCCCCAGGCACCTGCTGTGAGAGACCCCCCCAGGACGGGCCCTCCCGAGGGCCAAGCGGACTGGGGTCCATCCCTGCACCGTCCAGCTCGTCCCCAAACCCCAGGACAGCTCCCTGACCCTGCCGGGGTGGGATGGACCACGACACTTTTTTAACTACTAGAAATAATTTTTTTAAATAGTCTATTTTACTGTAATTAAATAGAGATTGCTATATCCCCCCGTTCCCCCCGGGCTGGCGATGCCCGGCCCTGCAGAGTGCATGGCCCGGGCTGGGCTGTCCCGCCTGCAGCCCCCCCAGCCAGGGCCTGGCACAGCCTGGCCCGTGACCCCAGGCCATCCCCTGGGCCCTCCCCACAATTAAGCTTCCTATTTATTATCTCTTTGTTTTCTTGCTGGCAAGAAATGAATGCTGAGGGAGCCGTGGGCCGGCGCTCGGCCCGAGCCGCGGCGCGTGCGCGTGGAAGGATCGGAGCCGCTGGGAAGCAAAGTTCATCGGGACAATAAAATGAGCTTGTGGGTTGATGGGGTTGCAATGTCTTGGAAAAACTCACCACTGTCCCCCCTGGCTTTGCCAAGGCCGGGGCACCAGGGATGGCATCCCGTGCACCAGGGGTGGGTTCCTGGGAGCGTCTGCCTGAGCTGGCCCCAAGTGGAACCGGTGGGGTGGCACAGAGGGGAGTGGGGAGAGCAACCCCCAGAGGTGCAGGGAGGGCCTGGATGTGCCAAAAGGCCCGTGGAGGGTTTTGCAGAGCTCCACAAGGCAAGACCACGCTCAGCCCCAGGATCCCCCAGGTTGCTCTCCTCACCCTCAGCCGGGGGGACCTGAGCCTGTGGCCCTCCTGAGCCACCCCAGCCCTGGCTTCTGTCCCTCCTGCTGTGCCTCTCTCTCTCTCTCTCTCTCTCTTTTATCCATTGCATTTCTCACTATTTTCACGTGTAACCCCCTGGCCTGTCTTGCCATGGCAGTGTGGGATCCCTCTCTTTGCAGTCCTGGGTGACTGGAAGAAGAGAGCGGTGCTATGGGGGTGTCAGATGGGAATGAGGTGGAGCTCGAACGTTCCTTGGGGAGATGGTGGTGGGAAAAGAAGCAGGGACTCCAGCAGTAGGAGGGGATGCTTCTCCTGCCGACAAGGATCCCCTTTCTTTCTCCTAAAGGATAAAGCCACCGCCTGAACAGGGGCTTGAACCCTGGACCCTCAGATTAAAAGTCTGATGCTCTCCCAACTGAGCTATCCAGGCTCACAGTTTGAATTTGGGGGGATGTCCATGACACGCAGTGGGGACCCCACTTTGCTGCAGCGTTTGGAAGGGCGATGTGGGGACCTGCTTTGACCTCTCCCGCCCCCACAGCACCCCAGCGAGGCTGAACCCCGGGCTCCCGGGAATCCCGCGGGCACTGATCCGGCACAGGGATGCGCTGGCAGGGAGGGGAGCGGGGTGGTGCGGGATGCCCCGCAGCGCCTTTGCAGGAGCGGGGTAAGGCGGGGGGGAGGCGGCTGCGAGGAGCTGGGTTACAGAGACACGGAACCTTTAGAGGAACCGTGAGCTCGGGGGGCACCCAAAGGCCACCCCACGTATTCTCTCGCTCTTCCTCCCCACAGTGCAGGATGGGACCCCCCTGCCCCTCAGGGAACCCCCCTGCCAGTCCAGCCCGGGAGGGGCTGGGGGTGATTGAAGCCGATCCCAAAGGCTGGTGGGGTGGGGGAGCCCCCGTGGGGCCTCTTCAAACACCTCGAGCGCACTAATTGGCTTAATTAGAGCAGCCGGCGATGGCACCGGCCCCGCTGCTGCCGGGGCTGGGGACGGGACCGGGGACGGGATTGCCCTGGAGGGGAGATCAGAGCCCCTCGCAGGGCGGAGGGGGATGGTGCTGACAGAACGTAATTAGGCACGAGCCTAATTACCCTGATTAATTAGAGCCCGCTGCTTTTAACGCACGCCTGGAGGTGTGACCGCAGCCGTGCAGCCCCTCGGGGTGGGATGGAGGCAGCGGAGTGAGGGGAGAAACCTGAGGAGCCCCTCAGAGAGACCCCACAACGTCCCCAGACACCGCAGACAGACAAGCGGTGACCGCTGGATACCCCCGAAGGCACCACAAGGACCCCAGGCCCTTCAGGGGGTGCTCGGAGGCCCCACGACCCCACGGGAGGTTCTGTGACCCCCCCCCCAGCCCCTCACTCGGGCGGCCACCGGGCGCGTTCCCTCCGCGGCTCCCCCCGGTCCTTTCCGTCCCTCCGCGGCCACCGTCAGCCCCGCGGGGAGGGGGCGGGGCTGCCCCGCCCACGCGGAAGGGCCCGTGGGCACCACGTGGGGCGGCCCCACGTGCCGGGCCCGTCATGGCGTCGGCGCCCAAGAGGCCCAAGGTGCGCGGGGCTCTGGGGGGCTCTGGGGGGCCCTGGGGGACACCCCGGCTCTTGGGGGGCCCCGCGGCTCCTCCCCGTTCACGCCGTGTTTCCCCCCGCAGGCGGCGGCCGGGAGCGGCTCCCGAGGGAAGGGCAGCGCCGACCCCCTCCCCGCGTTCCTGGCGTGGTGCGGGCGGGCCGGGGTGGAGCTGAGCCCCAAGGTGAGGCAGCGCGGGCAGGGCCGGGCCCTCCCCCGGGCCGCTCCGGTGTGTCCGGCCCGGCCGTCACGGCTCCCGTCCCGGCGCAGGTGCGGCTGAGCAGGGAGGGCGCGGTGTCGGGGTACGGCCTGCTGGCCGCGGAGCAGCTGGAGGCGGGAGAGGTCCTGTTCACCATCCCTCGCTCGGCGCTGCTGTCCCAGCACACCACCTCCATCCACACCCTCCTGCAGGAAGGTGAGCGCGGGCTTCTCGCGCCGCTCGCGTCTGCTTCGCTGTTTAAAGGAATGAATGGGTCTGGGATAAAGCCCCGGGGACGCTCCTGCTGGAGCGTTGTTGGAGACCGGGCAGGAAAGGGGTTCCCTAAAGGAGCCTGGAGCTCTGCGGGGCAGGGAGAAAAGCCCCACAGTGCAACATCTCCACCTTCTAAGTGACAGGTTCATGTCACTTCTGTTTTCCTGGAGACCCAGGACAGGTCCTGATGGGAAAAGAACAGGTCCTTGGTTCCTGAAGGCACCCCCAGGCTCAGGCTGAGGATGGCAGGGCAGTGGGGCCTGGAGAGCTCCAGAGCAGCAGTTGGTCAGCTCAGGACAGAGTGCAGGCAGAACTCCTGCCTGCAGGGTGGAGGTGGGACTGAGGCTTTGGTTGAGGAAAAAAAAAAAAACAAACCACCTCAAGATTAACTTACATTTTCTCCACCGTGTCTGGTTGCTCAGCCCAGGAGTCCCTGCAGAGCCAGTCCGGGTGGGTCCCTCTCCTGCTGGCCCTGCTGCACGAGTACACGGCCAGCAGCTCCCCCTGGCAGCCCTACCTGTCCCTCTGGCAGGGTTTCCGCAGCCTGGATCACCCCATGTTCTGGTAAGGGGGGAGCAGGCGGGGCTGGGGGAGGCCCAGGCTGGCAGCTGGAGCAGGGGCCGGGCATGGATCTGGTCCTGCTGGGCAACCCCAGCCCTCTGTTCCAGCCCAGGAGCTCTCCTTGAAGGAGGAAGGAGTTTGTAAACTCTTCTCCCTGAGGCAGAACCTCTGTTTTTCTTGTACCAGGCCTGAAGAAGAGCGAACGAGGCTCCTGCAGGGCACGGGCATTCCCGAGGCTGTGGACAAGGATCTGGCCAACATCCAGCTGGAGTACAGCTCCATCATCCTCCCGTTCATGCAGTCCCACCCCGATGTCTTCGACCCCAAGCTGCACACTCTGGAACTGTATAAGGAGCTGGTGGCGTTTGTCATGGCCTACAGGTGAGAAGGGAGGGCTCTGCTCTGGCGAGGAGCGAGGACGAGGAGCAGGATCGTAGGGAAGATCAGAGGCTGTTACTTGAAGGTTGCAGTTGCATGAGAATGTATTAAGATGAAGCTTGCCCTGTGCTGCCACGTGAACCGCAGGCTTGTCTCCATCTCCCTTCTTCTAGCTTTCAGGAACCTCTGGAGGAGGAAGATGAAGATGAGAAGGGGCCCAATCCTCCCATGATGGTGCCTGTAGCAGATATTCTCAATCACGTGGCCAACCACAATGCCAACCTGGAGTACTCTCCTGTGAGTGCAAAGCTGTTGCCCCGGCACTGTCACAGCCTGGTTCCCTTTGTGAGGCCTTTGGGAATGGAGACACATCCCTGGGCAGCCAGTCTGGCCTGGATCTTGTTAATTTGAAGCCCTGCTGCATGTGTGGCAGTCGTCAGTGAGAGCTGAGGGTCCTGTGAGCTCTCAAACCCCGTGGGGACAGCGCAGCCCTGAGCTCCCCTGTCCCTGCCCGCAGCACTGCCTGCGAATGGTGACCACCCAGCCCGTGGGGAAGGGCCAGGAGATCTTCAACACCTACGGCCAGATGGCCAACTGGCAGCTGCTGCACATGTACGGCTTCGCCCAGCCCTACCCCGGCAACAGCCACGACACCGCCGACATCCAGATGGTGACGGTGCGCGCGGCGGCGCTGCAGCGTGAGTGCCACCCGTGGTGGGAGTGCCACCCGTGGTGTGAGTGAGTGCCACCTGGGGGGAACCCTGCAGCGTGAGTGCCACCTGGGGAACCCTGCAGCGTGAGTGCCACCCGTGGTGTGAGTGCCACCCGGGGGGAACCCTGCAGCGTGAGTGCCACCCGTGGTGTGAGTGCCACCTGGGGGGAACCCTGCAGCGTGAGTGCCACCACCCATGGGCACCTGGGGCGGGGAGCGAGGGTGAGGTGGAAAATAACCCCTGTCCCGCAGCGTTTCAGGTGCTGGGGCCACGCCTCGTTTTCTGCCCCCCGTGTGCCCTTCTCTGCTCGCCCCCCACCTGGCTGGGGGTGCAGCTCTGCTCTCTCCAAACAGGTGCCAGCAGCCCAGCGCAGCAGCAGCTGGTGGCAGAGCAGTGGGACTTCTTGTGCCAGCTGGAGATGGTGGGCGAGGAAGGGGCCTTCGTGCTTGGCTGGGATGAGGTGCTGACAGAGGAAGAGCTGTCTGTGACCCTGAAGGTGAGCACAGCCAGGGAGGGGGGAAGGGGAGCAGGGAGTGCAGAGGGGCTCAGTGGAGGGGACAGGCTGGGCAAGGCACTTTGGTACCAACACTCCTGCCTGAACAGTGGTAGGTGTGGCTGTCCAGCTCCCAGGTGCTGTCAAAATACCTTCCTCTCCTCAATAGCCACCCATCTGTACTCAGACCACAGCTTGCTCCATGGCCACTGCTGTTCTAGACAGCTGCCAAAACTTCCCAGGTGACAGCTGAGATGTCCAGGTTTTCTGTCTGAATGTTCTTCTAACACACAAGTTGCTTGCAATTAGGGATCTAAGCCAGTTTTAGTCTCTTAACATTTAGTGTGGCTGAGGAATAACTCACCTGCTCCATGTGGCTCTTCTCTTCCCCAGAGGAGAAAGCCCGATGTGCTCCCACTGCCAGTGACTTGTCCCTTTGCCTGGGTCCTTACAGGTGCTGTGCATGTCAGAAGAGGAATTCAAGGAGTACAAGGAACAAGAGGGCTGGGAAGATGACAGCGAGGAAGAGGAAAGCTCTACCCTTTCAAACGAGGCTCTCTCCAGGCTTAAACCCCCTTGCAAGAAGCTCCTTTATGACAGCGTGCTGCTGACCCTGCAGTCCTACAGGTCAGACCTGAGAGCAGAGCAGGACTTGCTCGATAACCAGGAGGTTTATGAGAAGCTGAGCCGAAGGGAGCAGCAGGCTCTGCACGTGCGCTACGGCCAGAAACGGATCCTGCACCGGCTGCTGGAGCTGCTGCGATAGGAACCTCCCTGCCCTGCACGTCACCTGCCCAGGAATGAGCCAGGGGAAGGGCAGCCTCTGGGCACCCATCCTGCAGCAGGGAGGAAGATGGCAGGACTGACTGTGGGCCCACCTGTCCTGTATATGGCACGTGGCTTTTCAGCTACCTCTGCACCAAAGGGATTTTGGGTGGCGTTACTGTACAGTGGCAGCTGTGGAGCACTGATGTCACCTTCTGCCAGAGGCCTTGAGAGACCCCACACCTCCCAAAGGATGTTTTAGGAAGGCAGACATCCACTGTCAGAACAGCAGGTGTCATTCAGCAGCAGAAATTTAAGGCAAGAGCAGCTCTTGTTCAGAAAAATCCAGCTGGCAGCTCTTACCTTGCAGAGCCTCAGAGTAAACACCTGCCAGGTGGAGCTGCTGACAGCACTTTCAACTCAGAAATCCAACTGGGTTGGACCTTCCTGTTCACAAATTCCAGGTGGGAGACTGGGTCTGTCTGAGACTGGAATGATGGGACACTACAGAACACTGGAAGGGACTGTAGCAGGTTCTCCTCCCAATGTGTGGCTGTGAAACGTCAGGGGCTGGAGCTGTGGAACCACCACTTGTGAGGGAAGAAAACTACAGGACTAGATCAGTGAGACACCAACCCCTCTGGATCTTTGGGACTAAAAAAATTACTAAGTCACTTAATGAACCATCCCTGGGAAGAAAGCCTGTCTTAGTAGAACCTGAATGCCCTCAAGGGGTAGCAGCATTTCCAACTGCAGTAATTGTTTTACACAAACACAATTGCACAGTCCAGGACTGCTGAGACAGTGTCAGATGTCAATCTTGGTATAATTTTACACTGATTAAGCCCCTTACTGTGACATGTTATCCTGAATTGCCTTAATCCTGCTGAATAGGAAACTCACATAGATAATCCTTTTGTTCTTTCTTGTCCAAATACTGTAACAAGAAGCCAACTGTACAGTGGTTTAACGAGGATGGAAGAGAATTTAAATTGTTAATTAATGTTGCAAATAGATGGGAATCCAACAATATGTACTCTCTGATGCATGAGGGGAGGAAGGTAAATGCCACAGGAGATGAGGGAGTAGCAAGGCCATTGGACACAAGCAGAGGAAAAAGGAAAACTTTTAACACCTCCCAAATCCCCTCAAGCCTGGGAAACCAACCCATACGTAGTAGGGAAACAACAAACACTATTTAATATTGACTGTATTTAAAACTAAAGGCTCTGATATTCACCCTGTTACTGCTCTAGGCATGCTCAGAAATGGAACCACAGTGCACCCAACAGAGCAGAGGAGGGAACAGATGACAAATGTCAGCACCTGTAGAGCACAGGAACAAGGGTCTGTCTGTGAAGGAAATAGAGCTGAACTCAAGATACCTGCCTGGATATGGAGCAGAATATCTGTAATTTTGAAATTCAGCTGGAGAGGAATATAAACCCAGTATTTGTGTACACAGCTGAAGGGTGTGGATGCTTTAGTATTCCTGGGGAATGCACAGAAATGGATAATCAGTTAAATCACACTCTCATTTTTGTGTTTGTAAACTTACCCAGATCAGAGGCTGTGATTTTTAACTGTTCAACCCCAGTAACTTCCTTCCAACTATTAAAAACAAAACACAGCTTAATTAACTGTACAACTTCCCTCTATGGGTATGAGCCTTATGCTAGTAGAGAAATTGCTCCAACATCAAAATTTGCAAAGGCTGTTAAAAGAACCTAAATAGAGCAGTAGAAAGACTTTGATTATTGCCCATCATGACAAAGAAATCCATCAGGTAATGGAAAGAGTGAAGAAAGATGGAAATCACCCCTGGTGGGATGTTTTGTTCAGATGGGCTCCAACAGCACCAGGAATTTTTAATAAAATGGTACATCCCATAACTGTCTTTATTACTAACCTGTCTGCTTTTCATTTTAGTGCTAGGATTGTACATCAAAATGTGAAGATTCATGAAACACCTACCTCCAAGATTTAAGGATAACTGGGAACAGCAGCAGCCAAAAGAAGGTGGAAGTGTTTAATAAAGCATTTCCAAAGATTCCAAGGGAGGGAATTGGTATCTTCAAGCAGAATTCTCTATATCTTTAAGTAGAATTCTCTGTTGCAGATGGAAGCTGATGGTATTATTCTCACCTTTAACCCCTCTTTTGAATACAAAGAGATGTTATCAGGTGTGTTAAAGGGTTGTTGCTTTAGTGTCTAAATTCTCTCATTTTTTACTCCTTGCTGTGCTTGATCTGTGGAAAAACTTCCACCTTGCACCCTGTGCAGAAAAAAAAAATGTCTCCTTTCTAAACCTGACTCTCTGCCCATGTTCAGAGAGTTCCCAAAATTCAGCAGCAAAGGGAGGGTATGAAGGGCAGATGGGTCCTACCAGCCCAACCTGTGCTCCTGGGATCTTGGCTGAGTCCTGTCCACCTTCCAGCCCCTGCAACACCAGCCTTGTACAGAACCAGAGGCACAGCTGAGCCATCAGGACAAGGCAATGAGCTCTGCAGATGGTTTTGCTGGAGTTAAATGGAAGGGAAAAAAATCCCATGGCATCTGGAGCAGATAAAGCAAAACTGGCTGCTGGTAGTGCTCTGTGTCCTAACCCCACAGGAGGAGGGGGGAGCTGGAGCTGCAACAGCAGGATCAAAAAATTCCAACTCCAAAAGGCTCAGTTTCAGCACAACTGGGGAGCTGCTAAAAAACCACCAGGGAATTGTAGGAGCTGCCCCGAGCCTGGTCCTGGACACACATGGGACTGAAAAACATTGGCCAGAGCAGAAACAGAGAATTCCCTGTGAGCTGCTGTCCCTGGCACAGCTGGCACAGCTGGCACAGCAGCCCTTGGAGCTGGTTTTGCTCCCTGCAGCAAATGCAAAGCCTGACAGAGAACCCCTCCAAGCTGAGTGGGAAATCCTGACCTCTCTGCCCACGCCACAGCAGCCACCAAGCTTTAAACACAGTAAGGCTGTGGAAAAAGCAGGCAGTGAAGCTCCATTTCCCAGCATCTGCTGGGTTGGAAGGCACAGGTTAAAGGATTCTGCAGCACTGGCAACACTGCAGGTGCCTACCCTGCCACGGGCACATCCCTGCTGCAGGAGGGGCACAGCAGGGTGGGTGGCACTGAAAATGGAGCTGATGGGCTGTCTGCACTCTGCACCCCTCCAGTGCAGCCTCCTGGCTGAGACAAACTGCTCCCAAAGCTGCAGCTGAGACAAACTGCTCCCAAAGCTGCAGCTGAGACACTCCCACTGCCACACAACTCTCCTTTCTCTTGCCCTTCAAAGCAAGGCCCTGCCTGGCCATCACATCTCCCCACTGACCTCACACCAGAGAAACAAATCCAGTTTGCTTTCAAGAGGCAGTGCCCAAAACACACTGGGAAACTGCAGGTTTTGGATGGGTGGAACAGACTTTGAAGGACACCACCTGGCCAGGATGGAAGTGGAAGAGAATAAGCACAGTGGCACGTGCTGCAGGTCATGACTTTTAATGTGTAACTACAGGATGCATACATACAAGAGTGGGAGAACTAAAGCCCAAGAACTAGAAAGGCTACAAAATACAACACATGGACCAATACTTTACAAAACATTGAAAATCCTTACAAAATGGGCTGTATTGGTCCTTTGGGTTTTTCTTTGTGGTTTTTTTATTATTTTTCTTTTTTTTTTTCTGATTTTTTTTTTTTACAAACTTAAACTTATATGTATGGTCACAGGGTAGGGATGGGAAAAGGTCTAGATTGAACCCCTCATCTTCCAAAATTTACAACTGTCCCTCCCCCCCCCCAAAAAAAAAAAAAAAAAAAAGAGAAAAAATAAAGAAGCTATAGGCCTGGTCTCTGGTTTATTTACTGAAAACAGCTGACCCTCACCTGAAGGGCCTGTTTCTTATCCAACAGGAAGGAGGCATTCCCTGACTGCCACTCCACTTGCTGTCTATCAGCATCTGATGAGGGTGAGGGGAAAGCAACACTGAACCTCAACCCCTCCCTCACCCCTCCCATACTCCATAGAATTCCCATATTCCAAACACATCCACCTTTTCTTTTTTTTTCCTTTTTTTTTTTTTAAACAACTTAGTGATTGAAAGGTCCCCCATCCACATAAAGAAAAATAAGTTACTTATTATAACTGGCTTTTCAATATTCTTTGGGAGTCTGGGAATGTCAGGACAAGGAGGTCTGCCCCAGACAAGTGCTTGGCATCAGCAGCTGCCCCTTTATTACAAGCTGGACAGGCACCAGTTTGCCCACCTGCCTTTTACACAATTTGCACAAACCCAAAAGTCCAGACAAAAAAAAAAAAAAAAAAGTTTCTGTTCCTTGTATTTACACTAGTTTAAAATGATATTCACAGCATCTTCTGAATTTTGGCCAAAAAAATGTTGTCTCAAAACTTTGGAACACGCCCACATAAGAGTGTCACCCAGGGCCTGTGGTGTTGTACCCGATCCAGGGGGCTGGGAGGGTCAGAGGAGCCTTACGGAGTCATCAGTCGCTCGATGGGCCGGGATCTCCAGGCTGGCACGCTGAGCATGCAGGGCAGCTCCTCTAACTGGCCCCAGTGCCCTCCATCACCTGCTGGGCCTGCTTCTGCCCCATGCAGCACTGGGCAACCGACTGGAACAACCTGCACGGGGAGGCAAAGCTGTGGGAGCGGCAGCAAACGGCCCTTCTCTTGGGACAGCACTGAAGAAAACTCCAGCTGCAGCTGCTCCAGTTGAAGCAAATGGGAAATACGATTTGGGAAATTTGAAATGGGACATTTGGGCCCCTGCCCCCCAAAAAAATACCTCGGAGGGAGGTGGAAAATGGGGGGGAAAAGCTGGAAAATGAAGGGAAAAATGAAGGGAAAAAATGAAGGGAAAAAATGAAGGGAAAAAATGAAGGGAAAAAATGAAGGGAAAAAATGAGGGAAAAAATGAGGGAAAAAATGAGGGGAAAAAATGAAGGGAAAAAATGAAGGGAAAATGAAGGACAAAATGAAGGGAAAATGAAGGGAAAATGAAGGGAAAATGAAGGGAAAATGAAGGGAAAATGAAGGGACAAAAATGAAGGGAAAAATGAAGGGAAAATGAAGGGAAAATGAAGGGAAAAATGAAGGGAAAAATGAAGGGACAAAATGAGGGAAAAATGAGGGAAAAATGAGGGAAAATGAGGGAAAAAATGAGGGGACAAAATGAGGGGAAAAATGAGGGAAAAATGAGGGAAAAATGAGAGGAAAAATGAGAGGAAAAATGAGGGAAAAAATGTGTAAATGGAGGAAAATAGGAAAAAGCCAAAAATGGGGGAATTAGAAAAGGTTATTTTTACACGGGGATTTTTTTGAGGTGGCTTCCTAAAAAAATGAGTGGGGTTTTAGGGTGATTTCAAATGCACTGTCATTCTGGGGTTAAGTCATACTCACTTCTCAATCTCTGGAGCGCAGTGAACAAACTCGTGGTTCCAGAACTTAAAGGCTGGGTTTTTTATCAGCTCAATGAATGTAATAAGCAGACCCCAGGGATGAGGCCTATTTACAATCAGTCGTTCCAAGAGAACCCTGAAATCCAGAAGTAAAACCAGTTAGAGCTCAAAGACCCCAGACTAGGAAAAAGACCCAAAAAGGAGGAAGAAAAGCAAAAAGTGGATATGTTGGCAAGTGAAATGGCTCCCCTCTCACCTGGTGATCTGCTCCTGGATAGCCTCAGTGTTGGCCTCTGCAAACAGGTAGAGCATGGTGCAGCTGAAGTAGTGGGTGTGGCTGTTGGGGTAGCGCAGCTGGTTGGCAATGGCGTTCAGGAACAGGTACCGGCCTGTGGAGAGGAACGGTGAGGACACACAGCCCCCTCCCACCCCTCCAAACATCCAAAACTGAGTAAAGAACCAGCCAGGAGTGCCTGAGGTAACGTTTGAGAGCTTGTCTTGTGGAGGCACGAGAAACAAAGCTAACTGAAGATACGTAGAAACTGTCATCAGCTCAGGCTGATGGGGCAGTAAGAACTCAGTTCTTCATTAAGTGCATTCCTACGCCCTTTGAATACTCTGAACTTGTGGTTATCAGATAGTTCCTGTATTCAGTTTACTATTCTGACACAGCATTCCTTACTGTGAATTCACTAGCAGCTCCATGAAATCATAGAAGACCTTTAAGATCAAGCCCCACTGTTAACTCAGCACTGTAACCCCTAAACCTCATCACCCAGTGCCAGATCCAGACACCTCTTAACACCTCGTGGGGTGTTGACTCCACAACCTCCCTTTGGGCAACCTACTCCAATGCCTGACCACCCTAACAGTGAGAATACTTTTCCTAACATCTAATCTGAATCTCCCCTGTCTCAGTTTAGGGCTGTTTCTTCCTGTCCTCTCAGTGCAGGCACAGTAGAAGAGATTGATCCCCACTTCACTAAAACCCCCTTTCAGACAGAGGGTGATGAGACCTCCCTGAGCCTCCTCTTTGAGAGTGAACAAACCCAGGTGCCTCAGCTGCTCCTCACAAGACGTGATTTCCAGACCTTCCCTGAGCCCTGTTGCCCTTGGCTGGACACCTCAGTGTCCCTTCTGGAGCGAGGGGCCCACGTGCTGTAGATGTGACATGGCATGGACTGCAGTGCTTCCAGCTCACCTTCAGTGTCCAGGTCTACTGCCAGATTCTGGAAGATGTCCATGTGAGCTGAGTGGGTGATGGTGCTCATAGAGGGGGTGCTGCCTTTGTTATGGATGTGTGCAATAGCTTGAGTACCTACGTAGAGCACCAGTGCATTAATCAGCTGGATGTTGTAGCGGTTGCCAGGTTCATTTGATACCTAATGACAAAGACAGGGAAGCCATCAACAATCGATATTCCTTCAGCACTTGAAGGTACAGCATGTACAACAACAGCATCCAAGTATCTCTTCTTGATTATGTGGACATCCACAAATTCAATTTGGCATTTACCCTTTTCTAATACAGCATGTATTATGAAGCAGGTATTACAGCTTATTTTAATACTATATTTGAATATATATATTTAGAAGTATCAACAAAGTGTTAACAGACTTTTTTTTGTTTTGGTTTTTTTTTACTCCATACCTAAAGGAAAAAAAATCAGGTAAGGCAATGAGAATTCACCAGCAGTGCCAGAGGCCAAAACACCCCTCCACCCACCATGTGAATGTTCCTGTCTAAGCAATTCTCTGAGGAAGTCCAACTTCAGACCTGAAGTCTGCTCCAAGCCATGTGATGTCTGAAATGTGGTTTTAGCCACAACCCTGCACTGGGTTTTAGCTAAT